CTATGGAGACGCTTGGCTTAAACACACTTTATAATTCAGTAATCGCGTTTTGACATGCTTGAGTGCCATCCGGCCCCAGATACTAAATCTCCAAACTTCTTAGCCATTTCGACTATTGAGGACAATAAACATATTAACTTTTTTTTCACCGAGCTCGTTATTCGGCAATTAGAGAAATTAGCGATAAAGAGTGTTTCAGAAACGTCTGAATTACGTCTTACCAATGTCGCAGAGAAAATGAACTACTGTGTTTGTGCAACAACAAAAGTGCTTCAATAAATACACAGTATTAATGATCATTGCCTTCTGAGTGAGTGAATGAGTTTCGCTTGGATGTGTCCCCTCTGGTCGTTTGAGTTACAGCCTGCCAACACTCCAGGGACAAAGTCGAGTGCCCACCTTACCTTGACCAAGCCATCATATCCACCTGTAAGTGTAGTATCCATCCAAATCTTATAGAAATTCCACACACCTGAATACTATTTGCGTCCGACAAAACATTCCAATTAGTAGCAGTTACAGTAGTTAACCGGAACAAACTCATCCTCTCCTCTTCAGTACACTCGATGAAATCCAAAATGGCGTCTACAAAGGGCGGTTATAATCGGTACGTTTGTTTGTTCGAGTTGTTAACTGCTATGAACGGCTGATGTCACAAGCAACGTACAGTCCATGATTCGAAGGAATCAGGATATGAACAGAGATGCTTTCAAATTATTGTCCTCTAAGTCGTTTGGAAGAAATGTGGACAAACAGAAACGTGAGTACGATTGGTCGAAATTTGGGCCAAGTATGCCTGCCTGCATCCAAATTCGACATGTTAGTTTTTTTNTTCGTTGGATTTTCTGCTAGTGATTATGACGAGTACTACCTTCTGGGATGTGACACCGTGTGGTCTGAATTTTCGAAGTTATGTACTACCACCACCTTCGGGGCCTAAGAGTAAAATGTAAAACTAGCAACCAGCAAGACTACAGACTTCACGGTGTCATATACCGTAAGATAGTACTGTTAATTGTGAATACTCTTCGAGCCCTTGAAGTACTCCCGAGCCTCCCTAGTAATGCGAGCTTCGTAGCGCAGTTAGTACAGTGACTAAGGTATGTACTGGGTGACCGGCAAATCGGCAAATTTTATTTTGGACTTCGCCCACTGGGGTTTGTTAAAACCAGCTCACTTCCGAAATTGGTCCTTTTCCGTGTTCAAGTGAACAAAATACGAAAGAGACCCTGTCCCATTGGACCCCTCTATACAGCTAATATCAAGACACGGACCACGGTCCATATCAGAAACATTAATTTATATATTACAAGTTCATAAATTTGCCGGTCACGGTAGCCGAGCTGTGTAAAGCATGTAGTACTGTCTTTGTTCGCTCGGAAGCCGGGATCGTAGGTTAGAATCCCACTTATGGCATGGCTGTTTGGTGTGTGTGTGTGTGTGTGGGCGCGCGCGCCTTTTTCTGTGTTTGTGTTGTCCTGTGTTTAGGTAGAGGCCTTGCGACGAGCTGATCACCCGTCCAGGGAGCCTTCCGTCTGAAAAATCATCAAGAAACTGAGAAATCAGCCCTGTACTCCAAGTGGGAGCAAGAGAAAGGAAAACAAGTTCATAAATTTTACAATGAGAAGAGAAGAGAATGCGTTCTGAAACTACTGATAATCTTTCTCTAACTAGCGAGGTGAAGCGATGTGGAGATGAAAAGGGGAGTTCCCTGCGCTTCATATTCTTCTTAAATATCGATTTTTGCGACGAGCTAGAGAGAGACAGCGCTGGAAAATTGATCCCAGTGAATTTCCGCAGTTGTGTATAGACAATGTGAATGCATTTGTGTAATAACATCGACACAGAATACAGCCAGAGGCTGCACTCATTTCCTAATGACGTGCATTGCTAGGAACTTTCAGCTCCTCGCTCTTACAGTAAGCAGTAAGGCTATTGCAGAGTGGAACAAGTTTTTCTTTTTGAAAATAAATTGAGATCCTTGCATCTTCGTACTGCCAAGGACCAACAAATATCATGATACAGTGAATATTTCGTCTGCTCAGTATTCTGCATTCAATGCGAAAATTTATCTCTCATATTAAAGCAGTTGTTTCCAATTTTTATACAATGGCACCCCCCCCCCCATCTATGTAAGGAGTCCATCGCAGCCTCCTCCTCAACTTTGTTTATATGTATAATGCACAAGTTTTCCAGGTTTTACCAACGAATATTTATCATGATCTTACAAACGTTATTACATTTTGAGAATTTTAATCAATTCAGTTTTACTATACAATTTTCTTATAATAATCCGCGCGCCCTCCCTGGCGGAGGGGGAGGCGCCCCATGCTTTGGAAACCACTTTATTCAGGGAAGAACTGATGGTGTCAGAGAATAGGGTGCTAATATGGCTCTGAATAAAACATTTAGGCTTACTAGTCGGAAGTTGCAGAATTCTGAACGAAATTTGTATACATACTGTTCAGTGTATGGTACAGGACGGAACCTTGAGGCCCCCCTGCTTACATTTTTCTTAGCGTAGACATTTCACCTTCGACTGAAATTCTGAAATTTCTTTGGAAAGGAAAAGCTAATAATCTTTAACAGACTGGTAGATATTTCCAATATACATAACTTGTATAGCAAGCCAGTGTGCTGTGTACACTCGAAGGCTTTTTCCACATCCAAGAATATTTCAGCGGTGGAAATATTGTTGAAATTAAAGGTCACATGGTTCATTAGCTTGACCGTCAAGTTCAAGACACCAATCGTGCTAAATTTTGGGCGAATTTAGGGTCCTGATCTTGTTTCCGTAAAGTTATCAATTTTGCTTCCTTCTAAGATGTTGGAAAATTCGAGATCCCAAAACAGTAATTAAATAATGTGTCAGATATATTGATGGTCTTCCTGGAGGTACCTGAAGCATTCACTCGGAATGCCATTAATTCGTCAGACCTTTTCAATTTCAAGAAATTTTAAGTTCTGTAAATCACATGGTCTTATTCGTTCAGGGAGGTTTTTGTCTATACTATATACGAACAGAGCTTGCACTCTAGCATCCATCCGCCCTTCATGTCTTTCGTCACACAGGTCGTGAGGTGTGAATTGATTTTCCAATCAGCTAACAACTGCGCTGCCTTTCTCTAAAGGTTGAAATTTAAAGCTTAAAGGACCATGAACAGCAGTTGGTGCATTGGTCCATCGCTCTTTATGAAGTGTTTCCCATAGTTCAAATGTCTTTCTATGGGGTCACTCCTCGATTGATTTCGCGACGAAATTATTGCCGTTTCATACGCTGGAGCCCTGGTTTCAAGCCACAGCTTTCTTAGCCTATTCTTGAGTTTAATAAACGATCCAAGCCAGGAAGATCTTTTTTAAGTCCGAAAGTTTAAGCTTACTGGTCGACAGCCTATACCCCGAAGCAGTCGAAGCTGTAAAGACGCTTGCCGCTTTATAGGCTTCTAGCCTCCAGTTAATTTCAATTATAGGTGATTATATCAGAGGCGAGACTTCGAAACCTTTCCCAATCTGTGAATTTTTTAACAGGTTCCGGAAGATTCCTAGTTTTGACATAATACAGCATGTGAAATATTATTGTTAGATGGTCTGAGTCCAGGATGTCAGAGACAGTAATATCTGGCACTCTGACGGACCACAATATCCAGCCCGTCACAGTTCCTCTCAGGTGAATAATGAGTGGGGCAGTGTAGAGCTGAAATTTCGAAATCATTCATGTCAAAGAAGACCAATAGATTCTTCCCTGAAGGGTTTGAAAATGTACTGTTCCAAATTCATGTTTGGTATTCCGATCACCTGAAAATATAGCCTTATATTTAAAGGTTAAGAGCTCAGTGAATTTCGCATCAGCACAGGCAAGATCTTGAGCCACCTGCACCGTGAAACTTCGTCACTGCCAATTGGTATGCAGAACTCTGTGGCTTCTACTGACACAAGGGGGGGGGAGGTCTTTACTAACTGCAACGGCAGTTCCGCCTTTTCTATTCTTGTAGCGGTCGGTTCCCTAAAAGTTGTAATTTGGAATAAAGAGTCCCTTATGAGGTGTCAGATATGTCTCTGAAAGTAAGGACATATCTATAGGGTTTCGGGATGAAAGGTATCCAAAAAAAAAAAATTATCTCGGAAACTAATTGACATGCACGTATCCGGTTTATGTCATCGGAAAGGAACTCTGATAATTTTCTTTTTCATAACCGCCTTACGCGTATACGCCGCCACATTTTTGCCACCGTGTTAGGAATCACTTGGACAGAGAGATGGCAGGGATATGAATTGGCAGAGGTGGACCAATTGCTTGGCCTCCTAAGTCGCCAGATTTAACCCCAGTGGATTTTTTCTTGTGGAGTTGTGTGAAGAACACTGTCTACCGGTTAAGATTTACGACTTGCTACATCTGAAAGCCCGCATAAGGGACGCTGTGGCTATGGTAACATCAAACGTGCTTCAAGCCTGGATATTTGTCGTGCCACCAAGGGAGTCCACATTTAAATTTATTGAGAAAGTTATATAAGCAGAAAAGAACTTTGATAGTTTCCTTTTGCAATGGTGTAACCCATTAATGTGTATAATAATTTTTTGTGAGATATAATGATTTTATTTTGGATACTTTCATCCGGACACCCTGTATATGTAGCTTTTGCAGCTTCATACTAAGCTTATAGCGCCGCCTCCCTATTCGCTTTACATTTTATGACTTTCAGGGGCCTATGAAGTCTAGTGGCCATTTTGTTTCATTAGATTTAAGAAACTTGTAATAACCATTATTTTTGCTTCCTCTACACACCACCATTGAACTCTGTCATAATCTGCTGTTCTGCAGCTGCTACTCTCAACATGTTGCCCAGAGGAAAACTGTTTAGATTAGGAACCCGAGCTGGCTGACCTGTTTGTTGTTGTTGGTGCTGCAAAGGCTCAGGGATTCTCGGGCCCAAGTACATTCACCAGACGAACTAATTTTGCCAGAACTGTAGCTGACCGGACTGCGGTACTGTGTGTTGTAGGACCTGTGGAGGGTTGCCTCAACAAGTCCCGTGTCAACAGGTGTTTCTTGGAAGTCGTCCAACGACAACTGTTGCTGGTCATTACCGCACTCAACAGTAGCCCCATCGCAGGTTGGATTTATGAGGTAAGTCACAAATAGCTTGAAAACGACATGGAGCGAAATGAAAACGGATATCATGTTACGTAAAGATTTTAAAATAACGGAGAAGTTCATGGAGCTACGCCTAGTCTCACTGGGGCTGTAGTGCCAAGGGGAAAAGAAAGATATTAAAAGGCAAAATGATTAAGGATTTAAAATGTTCATTACACTATGTACGAAACGTGATTCTCTGAAGGGTTTTAACAGTGTTTCTTTCATCATACTTATAAGCCTTTTATGTTGGGTATTGTCCATTGTCTAAGGCGTATTTTTTCTTGCTTACTTAATGAAGCTTTCGGTATCGAGATAATTTACAGTCGAATGGCAAGACGATAAATTGTGATGAATCAGAAAGGATTAGGAAGGAAGCAATCGTAGTCTAATCCAGCTGTTGTCGAAACATTTGTCTGGAGGGATTGCGGAAATCCGTGAGAAATCTCAGAATACCTGTGTCTCGCCCCGAAATCGAACCGAGCACCTCCCGAGTACAAGTCTAGAGCTATACTTCCAGATCAGCCTTTTCAGAGGAAGCATCTAATGATTGTTTCTTACTATGCTGACAAGAGGAGCCGGGGTAACTCAAGCTAGAAGATGCGGAGCCGGTCACGGTAGCCGAGCGGACTAAGGCATGTACTGTCCTCGCTCGCTCAGAAGCCGGGATCATGGGTTCGAATTCCACTCAGGGCATAGATATTCAGTGTTTGTGCGTATACGTTTTTCTGTCTGTGTACAGGTAGAGGCCTTACGACGAGCTGCTCACCCACCCAAGGAGTCCTACCGAATGTCTAAGATATAGTAAACCGAAGTGAAACGGAGATTTTCATAGAGGTAGGCCAAGACCCACACTGGGTCTGTAGCGCCAAAGGAAAAAAAAAGGAGGTACAGAACTGGACAGCAGATTAATCGAGATTAAAAGCGCGGTGAAAGAAAGAGATTTCCTCTCCTCCACCTTTCCGTACAGGCTGTGGAACCGACCCAGCCTCGTACCCAATGAACACAGCTCCGCCGGGGGAGTCGGCTAGGGTGTGAATCTGATTTACACCTCCATCTATTGCTGAGGTTAAGAATGCGTGGAGGTATACCTGCACTTCTCCATACGTCTTCATACTATGGTGATTAATTGAGCACAACGTAACTATTTTTTTCCTTGGCACTACATCCCCAGTGGACCTAGGCCTACCTCCATGAACGTCTCCGTTCACTTCGGTTTTTCTAGATCTTACACATTCGGTAGGACTCCTTGGGCGGGTGATCAGCTCGTCGCAAGGCCTCTGCCTGTACACAAACACAGAAAAACTCGCACACACAGAAACTAAACATCCATGCCCTGAGTAGGATTCGAACCCACGATCCCGATTTCCAAGCGAGCGAAGACAGTAGATGCCTTAGACCGCTCGGCTACCGTGACCGGCACAAAGTAAATATTAGCTCTCTTTTTAATTTAGCATCGCGAAACTCAGACGACCTGCAGAAGAATTATGTAATGAAGTGTGCGTTTCGGTTTTCTGTGCATCTCTCTTCCTTCCCTTCGATAAACGCTCAGCGACCTAAGCGTGAGTTACGTTCGAGATGCGCTCAAAAACACCTGCACACTTTCACATATATTGTCCATTATCGACGCCAGATTTTATCAGAAATTGAAATTAGTACCAGTGGTATAGTTTTCCATATCCTACGTTCGTAAGGGGTCAAAAAAGTTTTCGGATTACTAACACTTTCGGTGCTATTGTGACTGGTACTTCTGAATTATTTGATGTTTGGGAGATATCCTCCGTGTTTCACCTCTTGCACCTCGGAACTTCCTTGAAACCGTCCTCCTGGTTGTTTTGTTGCTCTCAAGTTCTTGTTAGACTAGTCTGGCCTGCCTGGGTACTCGTTTTCAGGCCGGCTTTTAACTCTTTAACGTCACTGTATACATTCCATGCAGAGCACTAAATAATGTCCTTCCAGTCAGAACTTTGCAAGAGCTTACTCTGTTCTCCTCGTCAGTTTTGACAATAGAAGTCATTCACTGCTCCCCCCCCCCGCAAGCTCATCTGTGTCACACAGTACTATACACCCTATATTTCATTAATGCATTTGTGTCTCAATTTTTACCTTTTAATACTCGTATATGATATTCAGATTTCAAGGCTGCTTGTTTGTCCATCCTGCGTTTCTGAAATTCCGGACTGGAACGTCCGCACTCTTCAACAAAACACAGACTTCGCCACTGCTTCGTGCCTTCGAGTTCCAACTTCTGTGTATTTCGCGTTGAATTGCGCAAGCCAGAGAATTTTACTCTTTTTATCCAAAACACGATCTGTTTACATTTCAAAACGTAACGTTTCGGAGACTCGATTCTGTCTCTGTCTTCAGGAGGTAGGAAATAGCTCTAGCGTCTGGGCCCAACTGAATAAGTTCTGTCTAAAGACGGAGACAGAATCCAGTCTCCGAAACGTTGTGTTTTGGAATAAAAACAGGACAAACGTAATATTTGTACATAAAATGTTTTTTGTACGTAAAGCCACGAGCAGGATGTACAGCCGTTCACAGGGCTATGTTTGCAGGAATTTTGACACGGCTTGCGACGGTATTTCCACAGCTCTCAACCGGGAGTACTTTGAAAGCGACCTTCATTTGCGGAAGATGCTGACGTTTACATTATACGGAGATTCTGTTATCGGTGGAAATAAAAACAGAGTAGCATCAGTGTTGCGACTTGAACTTAAATAATTGTCAGGACAGCATTTAGTTGCTCGCAAACAAGGCACGGGATGAGGTGACTCTTTGAAACGTATAGCTGTAAGGAACGATATTATCACACTTGTAGGAACTGTGCATGAAATGTTTAGCAATTCAACGGCGAAAAGGGAAATTTCGAAGAATTCGCCGAAGTCACAATGCGTAACGTACTGATATTTCGATACCTGAATGAAGTGAGATTGTTTCTAAGCTACTTTGAAGTTCCCTGTCTAGAAACTCTGTCTATATTGACTGCTGCACAAAGGAAGTGAGCAGGTGCACAACATCGCGCTCAATCGACAGTTTCCAGTGATCCACTGAGCATATTCTTTCAGGGACAAAAATTGACAGCAATCGAAGTTATGCAAAACAGAGGGACTAAGATTAATAAACTGCAGATTTCGTATCTAAGTGAAGTCGTTTATTGCGTCATCAGTTAAGAAAGTTCTGCGGCTCTACAGACTCTGCTACAGACCTGCAGTTTTCAGTTACTCTGTGACGACTGAACAGATTTCTGTAAAAGGAATTAATGGAGCGGCGTGCACTTGATCAGGTTTCAGTCACCAGGACAACTCGTCAGAAGTGTAGAGGTGGGTATGGTTTTACTGATAGCGAGCTATTCCACCTATATATCACACAGCGAAACAAGTTTGGCATTCAGTATATGTGAAAATTACGCGGTAGTGTAGTTGCTTGTTGCATTATGCTGTTAGCCGCAACGTCTTGGGTTCGAGTCCAGATGATGTGGATTTCTTTCAACTTACATAATCCTTCCAGCCGCGCTATGGCTCTGGGGTCGACTCATCCTGTAGTTTTTAAACGGTGTGTGTGTGTGTGTATATATATATATATATATATATAATAAATGCGCCATTTATATTCTAACTGTCGAACACGAACGTACATTTTGATGGCAAATAAACACACTGTTCACAATAGTCCCCATGACTTTTACGCAGTCATTGGTCTGAGGTTAAACAACCCCCTCAGAACATTCAGTTTTCCACTCAAGCGGTACAAAAATTGGAGAAAATATTACTCTTGCCTCAAATTCTTGTTAGCATTCCTCATGGTTTCCATGCTTGGTACATGCACCGCCAATTTCATTGCCTTAATAACAAAATTGAGGCACTCAGTGAAATATGCGACAAGTACAGCACATTGTTCTCAGAGCTGGAAGACACAATGCATCGTGTAGCAGCGGATTTTTCCAAAGATTTTAATAGACGCATCTTTCAAAGTAGATCCATTTTAATGCTGGCCTAGGCTCCAAATTCTTTCTTCTCCCCAATGTTAACTGTACTTATATAATTTACAAACTGGCTTAATCTGTTGTGATAATTTGTTCCATAAGCAGAATCCTTAAGAAACAAAACAGTCGCTCAGTTACTGAACAAATGCACCGCCTTTTATAAACATGGGCTCACAAAAGACCACCATTGGGTCCTATCCTAAGCCAGATTAATCTAATCCGTAATTTCACAACATATCTTTAAGATTCGTGCTAACAGTACTCTCCCGCGAGGCCTCTCACTAATAATCAGTTTTGACGGAACCGTTGCCACGGTATCCCTATCATCACCACGGGTACTTAAAAACACACAGTACAATATCCATGAAATACCCAATCCAACACAAAATCTACTAGAACTGGATTCATACCCAAAACAATGCATTTAGACCTCACACAGGCCGCGCCACAGCTCAAACGGTTAGTCGCTGGCTTCCCATCGCGGCGGCCCGAGTTCGATCCCGGGTCTTGTCAAGTGGGATTTGTGGTGGACAAAGTGGCGCTGGGGCAGGGTTTCTCCGAGTACTTCGGTTTCCCCTGCCAGTCTTCATTCCACCAATTCCTCCACAATCACCCTCACCTATCATCTGGGGCTGGTACACTAGGCCAGATGTGGCCGCAGTACAAGGGACTTAGTCCCACCCCAATAGCAATAAAAAAAAGACCTAACACAGTAATGAGAAGACTGAAGGGGTTAGACCTCACATAGTAAGAAGAAGAGTGTAACGATTCAAAATATTGAGAAGGACCCCAGCACAAAATGCCCCCGTCACTGGTAGTTCGGCCGTCTCGACCAGAACGAGAATGAGCAGACTAATAATTGGCCGTCGCGTAACCCCATTCTAAAATTTTTGTCTTTTCGATCTTTCAAATTGTAATTTGTAATTTTATTAATTTAATCTCTACTAAAATATGGATCCATATTTAATGCTTTGACACAGTTCATGGACTTACACTGTTGGTTGTGTAT